TGAACTGGAAGATAAGAAAAGATGAGGGAAATCAACATGAGACTAAGGAAAGCCTAGGTAGTAATTATCATTTGTATTTTTGTTACTGTCCTTTTCCAAGCCAACGGACCAAATCCTCGTATTAAAAAGTTGCATTTTGTTTTCGCAGGAATGTCAATGTATCTGATTCAGATCGCTGTCAAATCTATTTCGATAGATAAACCGAACGTGTCTTTCAGCTGAATCCAAAAACCATGCCTACAGTTCCGAGATTCAAGCGCGCATTTTCGTTACTGTTGGATTCCAAAATAACGTTGGACTTCCTGTTGCCAAATGGTTTAATGCTGCCCTTAGAGGTAAGACAGCCATTTCTGTCCAGATTTGTTACCAGTGATGTGTAGATGTAATTGCCAGTGCATGTTAAGTAAATTAGTGGTTTGCACTACTGAGCCCTTTCAGTTCTGAGTCCAAGGCTCATAGCCGGGATGTTTTCAATGGTTTTACTTTCTTTTTTATTTATTGAGTGTACAAATGTGCAGTCATTTTTCAGGAAGGGGGCCGCGGCCATACAAATCCTGCCTGGGAAAATACGAAAAATGGGGAAAATGGGTGGCAGTGACGGGATTCCAACTCAGGACGTTCAGACCGCTATTTTGATGACCCTAACTACTTGACCACCGCTGCCGCTCTGTCGGTTCACATTTTTAAACAACAAGTCCTTGGAACTAGGAAATTCCATCTTTTTGTTTGTTCCATCGAGATTTGTGACGAACGGAATAGAAAGATACGCATGGCAATAGGTGCTACCGTTTGACGTCTTGAATAATCTTGCTAGATACGCCGGCTACCCACCTAATTCATCAGTTCGTTTTCCGCCATCAAGTTGGGTAAGCATGAGCAAAAGGATCTTAACAACATGACGAAGGAAACTTTATACTCACTGTTTATATATTTTAAGAAAACACAAAGTAGCGAACAAGCTCGTTTACGGTGATTCTTCTACAGACTAATACATCACAATTTATATCAAACTGTTCAGAACGGGGAGAATGAGCAGCTTGCATTTCTGGACGTTCTACTAAGCCGTCAATTAGACGGAACTACCCAATGCACCATCCACAGGAAGCCATCGTGGAATACTCAGTATATCCATTTAAGGAATTATGTGCTTTTGGAACGGAAAAGAAACCTGATTCGTCGTCTCGCTACCAGGTCGCGGAGAATATGTACGGACGATACCCTTGATACGTAATTGAGGTTTATTCGAGATGTTTTCCTTCAAAACGGATACCCAGAACGATTTGTGGACAAAATTTTAGGTCGTCCTTCAAAATAGATCCAATCTCTGTTCACCTTAAATTTTACCACTAACCTTGTATACACTGCGAGTTTGGTAACGATCATTGAAGTTCGCCTCACTGTATTTCGCTGTACGATGATGATGATGACCAAAAAGACCACTACTGCGGAGAAGAAACCGGTTTACATATCGCCACCTTTCAAGGGCGGCACAACTGCCGATGTGTACAGCTGTGGAAAAAGCATTCTCCGCAGCAAAACTGCGTCTTGTTTTCATGTCCAGGCCACTTCTATGCTTTCAACTCAAAGATAAATTGCCTGCTTCTGCCGTCTCTTTCTGTGTGTACTCATTTACCTGTTCCTGTGGGACAAGATACATTGGCCACATGACCAGACGTTTTTCTGAGTCCGCTAGCACCACTCGGTCTAGTGGAGTTATTAGGACCCTTAACAGCTCAATCGTTTCACATCTAGTTGAGTCAAGCCACGTAGTTAATGTCACCGAGGCGTTTCGAACCCTCTACTTAATTCACACCGGCCGATCTAAGAGGATTAGGAGTCGCATTTTGGCCACAGCGGAAGCGATCGGAGTTCACCTACACCATCCCCCCCATGCTCCCAAAAACAAGAACACTCGGTCTTCCATGGCCAGCACCACATACGACACAGCCATCCTCTCACCCACCCCGAACTAGTGCGCATGCGTGAGAACCAAAGTGTGNGAGCAACGTCCGGTTATGGAACTGGAATGTTGATAATCACTTTTCCAACTTGTCATGACTTCTCCCCGTTCTGAACAGTTTGATATAAGTCGTGATGTATTAGCCTGTCGGAGAATCATCGCAAGCGAGCTTGTTAGCTACTTTGTGTTTTCTTACAATGGGTAATGATGGTATATTCGAACAATTCATATATTTACTGTGATATGTGATACAAACAGAATTTCGCCAACGCCACTGTGTGTCTGGTGCTGGTGGTCGGGGAGTGCTCTATCTATGAAGCATACCATGAAGAAAACAACAGACTAGGTGTATGAGAATGAGGTTTTTTGCATGCTCTTGGTGTAAATGTATGGATGCCACAGAGAGCCACTACCTTGTCAACGTTGTAATTAAATTGGCCCATGTTTTGTTCGTGGACATGATATACTACCTGTTTGCCCGAATCGCATCACGGGTGAATTTCCTGGGGGATTTACCGCATGAGCAATCAGTTAACCAAACCCTGATCTGCCATCCAGCAGCGGGTCTGTAAATGAAGGACGCGGTTTATTGTGAGCCGCTCATAGAACCGAACAACACGGATTATGTAGAGTTGTTTTGAATTTATAAGCCTAACGTGTTCCTTTTATCCACGGGGCGTGTTTTAAAAGGATTGTTGTTACTGTTTCTGTTTGTCCGCATTGTTCAATTGTTCTTCCTCTCACCATTTGGAAACCCCGCTTCAGCTGGACTCGGATCTCACCTTGTTGGAAGCCAAAGAGGAACTGTGGCTCGCCTCCGCCAACGAGCCTTTGTTTGATGTACTCCAGCCGAGTAACCATTACATATTTTGCGGGCTCAATCGTGAAACAGCAGATGAGGAGGACTATTACGACCAATCCCTACGTTTGCGGGAACTTCCTCTTCTGCTGCCCTATCTGCGAGTGGTTGAGGCAGCCAAAGATACTGCATTGCTTGAAATTAATAAACGAAACGCTACAATCGCTAGGTAAGTTCTTGTTGTTAAATCTGGTCACTGTACGTACGTAGTTGGGGAGTTTCTAGTGTTGCACTTGTACCGCAAACTTTCGGGTTGCGGGCCAAAAACATTATTTCTGTGTGGTTCTCATTTTTTGGGAGTCCCTACATTCCCCAAAACCATAGTGCACTTGGAATAATTTCAAGGCGGATTAAGGGACTAGATAAGTCTAGGAGAACAGAGACCTATAAAAAAAATGCAAAAATACTATACACCGCTCCAGCTATCCGCAGTATGTATATTTACCATGGTTTGAACTGACCATAATGTGTTCAATTAAACCCGTCCTGTCTCTACAGTTCGTCCCGCCCAGATGGGTATCATAATGATCGATGGCACTAAAGCAATATATTTTTTATCATCATCTGATTGTGACAGCACTTTGGTACTAACGAGAATGGGTGTTCGGATGTAATGCAATGAAATCCTAAATTTTCTCTTCGATCCTACTTTCAACCTTTCCNTTTCAACCTTTCCTGTATTTCTCCTTATGTCCATCCAAATAGGCAGCCAAAAAGCAGCAACCAAAAGCGGGACACGATAGTGCATGGTTAATGGCTGTAGAAACTAAAAAACGGAACCTGTTCGGATGTAATCCGAACATTCTAATGATCAATAATCTTAAAAAGTTGAAGTAAATCGTACATGTCCACAGGATTGCGAGTTGTACACTGTCCCCACCAAACTATGAAGCTACATTACTATAGGGGCTGAGATGCATGCTACCTGGCGCTCACCCAGGTCGCGGGTAGGGGAGCGGGCATCAAATGAATGACCATCTGTGAATAAGACGAGCTGAGGTTCACTGAGTAAGTGTCCATGGGTATACGGTGCCCGAACACACGGTACGGTTTCTCTTGGTGAGCGTCCTCCTTATAAAACTCCACAAAAGTCTTACGACCGCATCGGCGGATGCTTCTCTGCTACAATAATGTCACCACCACAGCCGCCGGTTGATTCGTTTCATCTGCTGGAAGAGGTGTTCCAAAGGAAATGAATGAGCCAGTTCATTTACTACCGGCTTGACTCTAACAACCCTGCCGCCTTGCTGGACGTATTTAAAAATGACAAGACTGGCGGCACAACCTCAAGAACAAATGTGGCTGGGGACACCGTTTGGAATGATGCTACCCATGGAGTCGGCTTAACCTCTTAGGATATTATGGCTTTAAAATAAAAGTGGGCAAACATCAGAAATCCATACCCCATTCATGTCAGTTGACTGAGCACATGGACACGAGATTCGAGTTGTGGTTATTTTACAGAAATTAATGTCTTCCTAGTCTCATTTTTTTATTTTCACACATGCCTGAGTTCAGACTGTCCCAAACAAATCACAGTACAATAATATCTATAACAAATGGTCCATGATTTCGTCTCTGTATTCTCATGATCCGCTTGTAGTTTTCATTTGTGTGTTTAATTTTTCCGCCGTAGCTGCATCGGAATCTCTCATATGGATGTGGTGCGCGCTGGACGCTTGAATCCAGAAGTCAAATGGTCCAGAACACGGTTACAACGACTGGCTGAGGAGCACTGCAAAGCCCTGAACAGTACCGGCACATTAGGATTAGCTCGGTATTTGACTGCCGCTCCACAAAAAGCTGTCAGCAGATCACTAAGGGACCAATTAGCCACTCTTCCGGTTCTGGAAATTACAGCCTGGGTATTGGATGGAGACGAACAGGCCTGTCAAGAGCGATCTATCACGGCCTCTTTGGACCCGAAGGCGACTGTTTTGGACGCGTTGACCGAGCTGCTTAGCATTCAAACCGAATTAGCTCAAACCAGTTACGCTGCCGCAATCCGCGATCTGGGTGTTACCATTCAAATCCCGAACGCTTTTGACTACGCCTTGAAAGTATGCTGTTCTCAGGTGTACCTTTTCGACTTGAATGAATCATTGGTTTCCTACGAGTATATTCAAGAATGTATCGAACAAGGTCGCACTCCGTGCCTGAGTCCGGTGTTGCGTAAAGATGTGTGCGAGACTTTGGCGTGTTCCTTGTCAGATCCGAATAGTGTGCGCGTCTCTACTGCATTAGATTCTGTGCATGGGACGGAATCAGAGAAACTTCCCAGTTTAATCATGCACGGTATTCGCAAACCCCTTCGTTTAACGGGCACGCCTGATTTGGCAATCAAAGCTAACTCTCCAGTCGAATCGGACGTGTATCGAACGGTAGAACAACTGGTTCGAGAATCGGACGACCAGTCCGTCACATCCGATCGCGAATGGCCCGAGGCGACGCCTGTGACGGCCTATCACTCGGTCTCGTCCGACAGCTCGTTATCCGGTGGATCTATGGCCATGTCCAAACGCGCCAAACCACCTCCGGTATTCTCGCTTTGGGAATTGAATGGATATCTGAGTGTTAAAGTTTGTGCTGGTCAATTTTTTTCCGAAACTCTGTCCCTAACTAGCTCGGGGCCTAGTTTGTCTTCAATGTTGGGCAGTTCACCGTCATTGAATCGGTTGAATGTTTCAGCCCAGGGCAGTTCGATTGGCAACCAGATCCAGGGGGCATCAAGCGCGGCAACCNCGGCAACCTTCAACAGCGCGTTTCAAAGTGATTATGTTGTACGTGTGGGACTGTTCCACGGGACACAGTCACTCATTGAATTTCGCGTGAGTTTTTTTCTTCCCAGTGATGACCTGTCAAATCGGTTGGAATAACACTATACAGTGTAGAATTGAATATTTTCTCTGTCTCGTTCTTTTTGGATGTTTAAAAGCACGAATCAGACACGAGCATTATTTTCTTGTTGATGCACGATTTGAATTCTGTTTTCAGTTTACCGGTTTTGAAAATTGATTCCATTGTTTTCATTCCCAACTCCGGGCATCTTCTACTCGAGGTGGAGCCTGCTTTAATAAAAATTTCGATTCGTATCTACGCAAGTGCGGTGATCAGAAGCTAGCTCTTCCTATAGGGCTTATCAATTTTGATTCAAATAGTTGATCCCTGAGATATTTTTCAGTCCCAGTCTTGAGTTGTCTAGCCGGAAGAACCCACAGCTTCAGTTAGCGATTATTTTACTTTCCCCTCATGTGTTGGTCGCCGTACTTTACCAACCAATACGAAGTGGCGCTTTTACCCATTGGCACTGATGATACACTTCTTCCATGGCCAACACCACACACGATACAGCCATCCCCCCACCCGCCCCTAATGACCCAAACAAGTGCGCATGTGTGAAAACCAAAGTGTGAGTGACATCCGGTCATGGAACTGGAATGTTAATTATCTATTTCCAACTTGTCTTGATCTCTCCCCCCTGCCAAACAGTTTGATATAAATTGTGATGTAACAGCCTGTAGAAGAATCACCGCAAACGAGCTTGTTCGCTACTTTGTGTTTTCTCACAATGGGGATGCACTTCTTCATTGGAAATGTTTCATTTCAGCTCACTCAAAGAATGAATGTTAGGCATCAGGGGTCCAGTATCTTGAGTCAAAATGTATTTCGACGCATAGTGGTCTTTTTTTGACAGCGGTATAGCGGAAGGGAGGCCTATACTTAAGACTTATCTTCATTTGCGTCATAATACACACCTTAGTTGTAAAAATATTCTTCAAATTTTGTCAATTCAAATGGCTGTGTGGGTTTTAGTTCCGCGTTTATGAAGTGTCTGAAAAAGAGAACCATTGTATTGACTCTGTGATATAATATTCTCTGCAATGTTTGCCAGTCGATTCCGATTCGTCTACATAATCATTTTTAAATCTACTAAAAGTCAGTCTTCTCCGGTACACTATGAATTTACTGAGGACGGCGGTCTGTGATAGAAAAATGGTAAAGGTATAGTTTCTTCCCTCACTAAATGACTTTCATCGCCTTTGACTATGAGAAAGAAAGGTTCAGTTCAGTTCTTACAACCGTTAACCATGCACTTTCGTGCTCCGGTTTTGGTTGCCCATTTGGACAAAACAGCAGAATGATGATTCAAGCAGAAGATAGACTGAAGTTACAAGAATAATGAGTAGATGCATGAGCGTCACTGTTTGCGACACTCAGCCATATCACTCAATATCTCTAACCATCAGTGACCATCTTCTCGGGGTCCCCAGTCAGGGAGCCTAACGGGACCTATGTGAGCCAGTCTCCTGGTCAGGGTTTTCATACCCTCATCCCAGGTCTTCGTTTGACCGCCCTTCACCTTTTTCCAACCACTACCTGCCTCCGCAAACATCGCTCGCCGTGGCAACCTGTCTGGTGACATGCGTAGCACATGTCCCAACCAGCGTAACCTATGGAGATCGACTACCTACTCCCGTGGAGGACCGCGATTACCTAAAACTACGCCTAACCTCGGCATTGCTCGCCCGGTTTCCCCACCAAACTCGTGCAATGCTACGTATACAACGGTGTTCAAACATCGACAATCTTAAAGAAAGCTAACGAATTACAGGTCTAACATTCCTCTCTGTCCCCTATGAGAGAACGCTTTCGTCACGTCGTATTCTGATGTACTGTAACTCCTCGAGTTCTCCAAGATTGTTTATGTTAAATTAAATGTTTCATTATGTTTTATAAGTTGGATTAAAGGATTCAGACGTTACCCAGTTTCCTGTCCGTTTTGGTTTGAATTTCCACTCAAGTTGGCGTCTCAATCGGTAAGAATGATTCAGGAATCATGAAACCAAGTAGACGAGCTCTCGCTTTGCCTTAATCTCTGATTTGCGGCTGAGTTTTTGGAAAGACTGAAGTTTTCACTGAAAACTGCTTAGTAATTGAATGCCTCAGCAGCACCCACCTAGTCAATTCTAATGCAAGCACAAATTAAAATGAATTTCCTATGGCATTGGTCATTGCGCAGAATAACATTTAGAATCACTTTGTCCATTACACCAATGAATGATTGGGCCACTTTTCAGATATCCAAACATTTGTGTTATTATTCATTGTTTGTTTCCGGCTACCTTCCGATCCGTAGCGCACCAGACAATTTATTCGTCACTAACCACACAGCTGACTACACCTTTTCCCATCAAGCTTTAGCCAAAACCCGCAGTCCTTTAACCAAAACCCACATTCCTTTAGCCTTGACCTACATTCCTTTAGCCAAAACCCACAATGCTTTAGCCACGACCCGCAGTCCTTTAGCCTCGACGCACAACCTTTGGTCACACCGCTGTAGGCGAGTCAGAACAAAAACTATCGGTATATTCTGAGGTCAACGAATGCTGAAAAGTTTATATTTTACAAATTTTCATATTGCAAAGCTTGACTAATAAATGAGAAGGTGTGACGATCGTATGCCGCCCACTTTGGATCGTCCGTAACTGCGACTGGACCATATGTTGTAATTGGTCTCGTCAATATACAGTCTCAGGGTTGCGTTACCCGATCTCTGTAACCAAGCGGCATATTCCGCTCGTTTCACTTTGACAGATTCCGTGTTCCGTTCG